TCTCTATTTTTTATAACTAATTATATTAATCATGTATATAAATTAAGATGTAGTCCCTCCGTCCCACATGAAATGATACCATTTCTTTTTTGGTTTTTCCACCTTAAATGATCCATTTTTATTTTTAAGTAAAGTTTATCAAATCAAAACATAATTAACAATAACCATTATTTTTAATATATACATAAACAAACCCACCCAAACCCATAACATGATTAAAACAAATAATTAAATCATAAAAATTCTAACAGCTTTGCAATTCTTTTTTCTCTCCCAACAAAAGCCCTAGTCGACTTCGCAATTCTTCTTCCTTCCTAACGAAAGCCATAGTCGATTTCGCCATGGATTCTAACCCCCATAATCCGATTTTTGATGGGTCATGGTCAGTCGCCACCACCTCACTGCCGAGGATGCCCAAGGGAGGAGTAATCGACTTTGATTCCGAGACCAAATGATTGTCTTTTCCATCGGTGCTTTCGAAGGTTGAATATAATGAGTTTGTTCTTGAAACTCATTTTTCTGATGAACGAGTGGCGACACTGCTTGGTGATGACCAGGTGAGCCTGATACCCCATCTTTTCCATCTGTGGCCATGTGACTGATACCTCACTGATTTACAAGGATATCAAAGTTTGGGCGGATTCCGATCTTCATTTTGTCCAGAATCGCCATTGGTGTTTAAACGATCTTTAACAATCGTGGAGGAGTTTCAATTGCTCTACTTCCCGTCAATTTTCACTATGTGAGAATAATAATAATATTTACTTATTTATGCTATTTTTTTTCTGTTTGCAAAAATTATGCCTAAATTTATTTTTTATTTTTGCAATTTGATGCTCTTTTAGTTGATTTTGAGATATACGAACTCTATTTCTCACATGGAAATTTTATTCATAATATACTGCTTCTATGAGATTTTCTGTTCTTATGAAAATTTATATCTACTTTTTGTTGATCATGAGTTCCTTGTTATATGTTGGTATCTTTCGTTGCATTAGATGAATATGAGGATATGCTACTATGCAATATATATATATATATATATATAAAGAAAACAACCGATTAAAAACAAGAAGAATGCTGACATATTGCAATTACATATAGTCTTTCAATTTTTAATCTACAGTAATGTTCTAGATGAAATTAGGAATTTACCATGTAGTACACCAGAGTATGTTAGTAGTTAGGCAGAGTGCCAATTATTTTGCTAAAAGAGATAAAAAATAATAATAATAATAATAAATAATAATAATTTATCAACCTAAAAATTCACGAGGAAGCCACAATGACTAGACGCTTTTAAGAAAATGTTAAAAAAATTAATAATTTAAACCAATAATAGTCAAGTCAGGACCCATAAACTCAATTGTTTATAGAAAAATCTGCATAATGAGATATTAGTGTTAAAAGCAGTATATCTTGAATCTCAAATTCAAGTCCGGACAGCAATAGCATAGCATAGTCTTGTTTTCCTTTGTCTATAAGGTATGTGAGACAATTAATCACCAAATCCTTGGTTACATTCAAGTATTTAGGTAAAACATCATGCCTAATAAGTGCATCATTCTTCATGTGTGGAATTTTGTATTTATTTTGTCCTCTACTCTTTATTATTTCAATCATGCACCCTTGTAAGCTCAAAAAAAAACTTTGTTTAGTTTTTCTGCTGTCAATTCTTCAAAGGATAACACCGCTGCATTCACTAGCTCATCCACGTTAGTGCAATCCTTTTCAATCTGAATACTTTGTATAGCCCTAAACCATCCAAGGTCGTTGATATTCACTCTGGAGAGTTACAGTTTGAACTATTGTGTTACGTCACTATCACTACGATTTTTCTTCCCTGCCATTGTAGGCCAGATGTCAAGGAAAAACTTATACTGAGATGATCACGGGGCAAGCTACAGTGTGAGATAAGGTAAAAATAAATAAATGAATAAATTTTACATAGATAAATAATTGTAAAATAAAATAATGAAGCAAATTTACCTTTTTCAAAGACATTCCAAAAAATTTTATCCATTCTCTACTTGATTGATCTCTATATTTTTTTATGAATGGCAGTGCAAAGGTTAAACTTTTTGTGATCCCCTTGATGGTGTAGTTTATAGCATATGTAATTTTGGAGGGAAACTATTAGGAGGGAAAACAAAATTTGTGGAGTATTTGGCAGAATTTCATATCCAGATTGTTTTTTTGGTTATTGCAATTTACTGGTTGATGTTGTATTTGTGATTTATTATACTCTATCCTGCAGTATCTTTTTGCTACAATTTGATGATGTATAATTTTGTTATTATCAAATTTGAAATGACTTATTTTGTTAAAATTATGGTTAGAATGATTTTTTCTAGTTCTATTATTGTTGATATTATATTTTTATTATCAAATATGGAATGATTTATTATGTTGTGTTAAAATTGTCGCTGAAATGATTTCATAGTTATGACTGATATTGTATTTTTATTATTAAATTTGAAATAATACGTTATGTTAAAATTATAAGTTAAATGATTATAGTTTATTACACAGAAAATATAAAACACAATATAAAACTTTTCCTATTAAAACTAATTTTCATAAATTAAATTAATTTAATTTTAATTCAATATAAAATTTTCATTGTTAATTTTTTTACTAAACATATAAATTTATTAGATTTTAAAATAAAATAAAAGTATTAAATATTATTAAAATTTAAATAATATATAAAATTATTGACAATGTTATCTATATAAAAAATTAATAAACTTATAATATAAACTATCATCATTAGTTCACTAAACAACCTACTTTAACTCACTAAATTACATTACCTTAAATACCGTACCACTACCCAAAGGTATCATTTTAGGTGGAACGGAGATAATATTATTATTTTTTTTATTATATATAATTTTATTATTTACAAAATATTTTGATTGAATATATTCTATTAAAATATAATTTTTTAAAAATATTTAACACGTTTTAATTATTTTATTAATCAAATTGATATTACATTATAATTTAACTTATAATTAAATAATACTATTTGATTAGTCAAAAGGTAAAATCATTTCTAACCACGCGTACCCTCCAACTTTCGACCAAACACACCCTTTTATAATTAAACAGGAAATTTAATTATTATATTATTGCAATGCAACGGTATATACTTTGGTTTTGTTTGCCAAAAACAATTTTTTTACCAATACAGTTTTAATATATTAAATATATAATAAAAAATATTATTTTTATATTATCGATACAATTCTCATTATTCCTATAAAAAAAATATTTCAAATTAAAATATTAAATAAACATTCTTCCCGTCCTAATCCAAATGAGCTATTTAAAATTTTTATAGTAAATTAAAAATATTTAATATTTTATCAGTTAATTAATAAATATACAATAATTTTGATATTTTTGTTATTTATACTTCTTTATATTAATTATATATAATAATATATTTTTAATTTATATAAAAATTTAAAAAATATTTTGATATTAATATATGATTACTTTTATTATAAAAGTCGTTATCAATTGCATATATATATATATATATATATAAATAATCCTAAGAGTGTGTTTGGTTTTAGTTTCAATTCAAAAGCCAATATTATTCCTATCCTATGGTTTCCAATAAAAAAATATACTTCATCTGTCCCATAAGTATATTATTTTTCATTTTTGTCCGTAAAAAAAATATATATTATTTTTTAATTTAGTAATTGTACTACCTACCTAACATAATTAATACACTTACAACTTTAATATATTATACAAATATTATTACTTTTTTTATCACACAATCGGCAATTTTATCATTTTCACTATAAACTAATATAATACTAATATTTGAAAATATATGTACAAAAAGTCAATGTTACTTGTTTTGCGGGACGAAGATAGTATATACTAATATACTATTTTTTTTTACAAAATATTATTCCCTCCATCCATTAACAATCTATCCATTTTTCTATTTTCGTCTGTCCCATAACAAAACATTCATTTCATTTTTTAGTAACTGTACTATTTACCTAACATTACAAATACTCTTCTAATTTATAATATATTACACAAATGTCATTACTTTTATATCATACAATACTAATAAAGACAATTTAGTATTTTTATCTTTACTTCTACTATATTCCAACATAATACTAGTATTTTTAAAATTCCGTACAAAAAGTAAATAAAATATATAAATATGGGACGAGCAAGTATATTAAAATATAATTCAAATTTCAATTTCTAACTCAAAACCAAACAAATCCAAATTTTCCATAAAATAAATAAATAAATATTTAAGATGAAAGTTTATTCCACTTTTATTTATTAATGCAATACTATTAATTTGTTGGGCTGTATAAAAACCCCAAATCTTGTTGTACAATTTTATGGGCTTATTGGCTATATGATCAACATTCTACTAATGTTTCTTTTTTTCCCTATTTTGTGTCTGAAGATATAAAAAATAATACTCTAACAAGTAGTATTTTTCACAAGTCTTTAATATAGGAAATTTGAGCGTGATAATAATAATAATAAAAAAAAAAAAAAAGTAGAAGAAGTTTACATGAAAAGAGTGTTTGGGAATGGTCAAACAGATAATTTAAAATTTTGATAAATTAAGTTTTTCAAACTAAAAAATTTAATTTCTGAAATTACTTATTCAATCCGCTTTATATTTCTTCTATATATATATATAAAAAAAAGAAAATATATAATTAATTTTGACAGACATAGGAAGTATTTAATACATTTATTTTTCACTAATGAGATTTTAATTTTAAAAAAGTAATTATTTATCTATGGAAGCCATAGATTTATTCTCTTCTATTTAATATTTGAAAATTAAATATTTTGTTCTTGAATTTTCTCTAAATAAGAATTCTAACATTTAATCTCTCACTTTTCAAAATCACCACAAATCCAATTTGTAGCAATAAACTTCTATAAAAAAAAATAAAAGATCGGAGTAACAGTTCTGTAATGAATGGCCTTGGGTGTGGGGGTGGATTTGTAATCGTGAGGTAATGGATTTAATAGTTTGCAATGATTTATTCATTGCGCACTTTTGTAAAATTCATTCCCACATATGTGGACAAAAAATTGTGTTATTTTTAATAAACACAAAATTTGTACAAATTATATTTGATTTGAATTTAAAGTGGGTCTTATTCTCTAAATGGGTCCTTTGATTCTCCTTCCGGGTCGATTTGTTTTCCAATTTGGTTTTCTATGGCTTCTTTAATCCGAAGAGATTTGGTCTTCGGTTTGATTCTGCCGAACTTTGGCGGGTTTTGGTCTCCGTGCAGACAATTTGATCGTCAGTTTTGGATGTGATGTCTTTTCTAGACAATTTGAGGTTTTGATCTTTGATTTGGCTTTGCCGCATTTTGGAGGGTTTTGGTCTCCGTGTTGGCGATTTAATCGTCAGCTCTGAATTTGATGTCTTTTTAAGACGATCCAAGGTTTTGATCTTTGCTTTGTCTTTGCCGCTTTTGGAGGACTTTGGTCTTCGTGTAGGCGATTTGATCATCAGCTTTAGATTTAATGTCTTCTTTAGACGATCCGAAGCTTTGATCTTTGTTTTGTCTTTGCCACTTTTCGGTTTTGGATTTGATGTCTTCTTTGGATGATCCGCAACTTCAATCTTTGGTTTGGCTTTGCCGCCTTTCGGAGGGCTTCGGTCTCCGTGGGGCGATTCGATCGTCGGCTTTAGACTTGATGTCTTTTTTGGACAGTCCGAGGCTTTGATATTTGATTTGGCTTTACCGCTTTTGGAGGGCTTTGGTCTCCGTGTAGGCGGTTTGATCATTGACTTTGGATTTGATGTCTTCTTTGGACGATCCATAGCTTTGATCTTTGGTTTAGCTTTGCCGTCGTTCGGAGGGCTTTGGTCTCCGTGTAGGCGGTTTGATCATTGGCTTTGGATTTGATGTTTTCTTTGGACGATCGGTGGCTTTGATATTTGGTTTAGCTTTGCCGTCGTTCGGAGGGCTTTGGTCTCCGTGTGGGCGTTTTGATTATTGGCTTTGGATTTGATGTCTTTTTTGGACGATCCACAGCTTTGATCTTTGAGGAGGTGGATTTGGTTCTTCATAACGCTTTTGGCGGCGTGTCCCTTTGACTTTTGGATCGAAGAGGGCCGAATTGTTACTTTGGTGAAGAACGCGATGAACACCTCGAAGCTTTGGAATGAACTTTGGATGCTCTTCCTTTACTTTGATGGATTTTTCAACGGCTTTTGAAACTTTGATCCTTGAAGAGGTAGATTTGGTGCTCCATAACACTTTTGGCGGCGTGTCCGTTTGACTTTTGGATCAAAGAGGACCTAGTTGATGCTTTGTTGAAGAACGCAATGAACATCTTGAAGCTTTGAGAGGAACTTTGGAGACCTTCCCTTTTGACGAATTCCTCAACGGCTTTGAAAGCTTTGATTGGCTCGACGATGAACGTTAACTTCATCGATTCATCAACCAATATTGGATCATGTTGGGAATTTTGACAGTTCGAGTCATAACCTGAAAAGTCCTTCAATAAATAATTAATTGGCCCATTCCGTAGCCTGATCCACCGGATCGGCCCAACCCTTTAATTCTAACCCAATTCAAAGCCAAAACTATTTAGTTTGTTGAGTTTGTTAATTGGTTAGTTGACTAGGAGGGTTTAAATAGAAATTAATTTGGGGTTTTGAGTGTAACCGAGGAGAGTGAAATACACTGTAATAAAAAGGTAGGAAACCAAGAGAGTGAAGGTGAGGAAAAGAGAGAGAACCCCGACGGAGTTCCAGTGAGTTCCGACGAGCAATTTCGGTGAGGTTCGGAACCCTTTTCTTGTGCCGATTCCGGTGCGCATCGAGGCTTGGAGTGACGAGCCGACCTCCAACCTTGAGACGTGATTACCTCGGGCCACTTCGCACCATGGAGTGAGCCGATATCCGTCGTCCCTTCCCGCCGGTCAAAGATTGGAGAAGTTACAGTCGCCGGAGGCAATGCAAGCTATCGCTGGAGTCGGGGCTGTTTGACGGAGGTGTGCTGCCGTGCGCCGGAGCATGCTGCCGGAGCTGGGTGTCGAGATCTCTCCTGAAGGAGTTCGCGCTGGACCGCCGGAGGAGTTTCAGTCTCCACCGCTACTGGTCGGAGAAGATGACCGGAGAAAGAAGGAATAAGGTCGTCGTCGCCGTCGTTGATCGTGAATGGAGTATACTGCTTGCGACTGGATTTCAGAATAAGAACATGGAGTATTTTAATTGAGTTCTTTGTGCTTCATTTCAATTATCAAGGCTGTTTGTTGGTGTTTTGATTTCTGATTCCAGAAAATCAGATTTATAGCTCTAATATTAATTTAATTTTAATTTTGATTTCGGTTATAATAAATTGGATTATTCGATTTAATTTTCTTCGGCTATTACTAATTGATTTCGTATTTTTGTATACGAGATTTGTTCGATAAATCCAAAAGGATCCGGAAATAAATTCACAACAGATCATTTGTCCAAATTAGTGACTTTCGACGAAGAACGCTTCGAATGACATGAACAACATGAAGAACAATACAAAGAGACTCTAGAGACTTACCCCTTCGCTTGAATCATCGATATAACTTCAGTGTCTTAAATGAACTGGTCATGGCTCCTATTTATAAGGGATGGGTGGCTTCGGCTTCATTTTTTAATGGTGCCACGTGGTTGGTCAATAGGAAGATTTTATAATGTTTTCTTTTCCATCCTATGCTCATTTCCATTCTCTACGGAATTGATTTTGCACATTTTTTCTCGCCAAGATTTTTATATCATTGCCATTTTTTGGAAGATATTAATTCATATATTTTATTTATTAACAATATTAATTTATTTTGCTGCCAAATTTATTATGACTCTTAATATTTGTAGGATATATTCCATTTTAAGCGGATTTTTGCATTAATGATTGATATTTATTGTAGAAAAATTAACATATGTGCATCATTAATACCATATATTTATATTATTGAAATTTTATTTTCTTTCAAAATATATGATATTTAATTGATTTTAGACATATATTTTTAGTGTCTATAGCATATATTTTTAATATGCCCGCTAAATTTATCCTATTACTAATTTAACAAAGTAAAGACATAATATCTTACTATTACCCTCAGTTCAATTATTATTTATATCAAATGTTTAATGTTATTATATTATCACTTCATATTCTTTAAAATTTTTAAAATATCATTAACTACCATTTTGCTTCTATTATTTCTTTGAAATAAAATATTTTTTTATTTTTTAAAATTTTGTGTTGTATATAAATATGCCAATTTTACTATAAGGAAAGACTAATAAACAAAAAGAATTCTTTAAGTAAAGGCTATTAAAAATTTTGATATTATTCATTAGTAGTAATTATAAAAAATATATATCACATCAAATATTTATTTATTCTAAAATGGTGTGTTTCTTTTGATGAGTTTAAAAAATATGGTTTGAGTTTGATATTGAAATAATGTTTGATGAGATATTTTGTGAAAAAATATATATATTTTTTTCGAGAAACGCAAATTTTAAATAGTAAAATTTGGGGAAACCAACTAAAAAAACATACCCAAAATATTAGATCAAACCTTAACTCTTTATTATTTTTATTTATATTATTTTTTAAAAAAGTTCAAAAATCTCTGTGGAACCCAAATACTGCGATAATTAAGATTATCAACCTGAAAAAAATGTACTTTTAAACAATCTCATCGATTGAATGTGACATGTGAGTTAGAATGTAATGAAAATATATATTGAATTGTTCGAATAAGAGAAAAAATTATTTTTCGTATCAATATAACTAAAATTCATCAATTTTGTTTGTAATATAAAAATTTTATTAATTTTAGTCTCAATATAACTAAAACTTATCATTTTTGTCTTAATATAATCAAAACTCATTATTTTTTGTCACAATATAAATTTTTTATCAATTTTAGTTTCAATATAACCAAAACTCATCATTTTTTGTCCCAATATAATCAAACTTTATCTTTTTGGTCCCACCGTCAACAAACCGACGGAAAATATTGACGTGAAAAAAAATCAAACCTTATATTTATATTTGAAAAAATTGCACAATCTTACAAGTCCACGTCAGCATTGTTCATCGGTTTGTTGACGATGGGACAAAAATGATGAGTTTTGGTTATATTGGAACCAAAATTGATAAGATTTTTATATTGAGACCAAAAATAATTTTTTTCATAATAATAATAATAATAATATATTCAGGACCACCTTAAGTATAAATTTAATTAAGTCATTCTCCAACGCGTAAACGACGTCGTTTTCACCATTTATGAAGAAGCTGATTGATACTATCTATCTATCTATCTATATAAAAACACATACATACAATTAATTCTAATACTCAAAATAGTGTAATTATTTTAGGAGATAAATAGATAAATGTTTTATTAGCCCACATACTTTTTCTTATTTTCATCCTTTAATTAAGGGTGTGTTTCTACGAGGATTTGAATTTTAAATTGAGATTTGAATAGTAAAAAAATTAAATTGGAATAGTTGTATAATGTGATATAAATAGATGTTGATATGATATTTTGAATGTAAAATTAAATTTTAGTATAACATAAAAAATAGAATATAAATATTTGATTTAATATTTTTTTGAAAAAAAAAATTGATGAACAGTAGAAATCGGGAAAACAAATTTCAAACGACCACACCCTTAAATATACATTAACTAGTATTATATTCAATTTGTTGAAACCTTTTAAATCATTTGCTAAAATATTGTCACGTATACTGATATTTCACCTATAAGTAATGAAATTGATCAACATGACAATTTCTAACACCAAATGTTGATGTAGAATTAATTTATGTATATTAATTAAAAAATAAAAATAAGTGTAATTATTTGTGAATTTCTGTTTTTCTTTTAATTACTTTCATTTATTTATTTTTTCAAATATATCAATCAAACACCTATGGTTTACTTATTATATTATATTAAAATTTAATTTACATTCAAAATATCGCATCAAATAATTATTTAACACACCTTATATTTATATTCACTTACAAAATTGAATTCACGTAAATGTAAGTTGCAGCGATACCATATCAATACATTTGACAATATTTTTTTTTAATGTCAAGATTAATAGTATATTTATCTTGTAATTTTATTTATTTTCTAAATTTTATTTTTTTTACTTGTTGTATATATTCTTAGTAAAATAAAAATGAGATTAGTCCCTCAAAGATATTCTGACAGGCAAATCTCTCCAAACTTTCACTTTTTGTCTACACTTCCAATTCTTTAATTCATTACTATCATATTTTAGGGCTTCTTTCTTTGGGTGACTTAATTGATTTGTGTTTGATATTAAGCAAATATTTAATAAGATATTTTATAAGATGAAAAAATATACTCCACCCGTCTCATATATCGTGTCTGTTACACTGTAGATATGGTATTTTAGGAGAAATATAATTAATAAATAATTAAAAATATATTAGTAAAAATAATTATCCTATAATGTAAATAATTATAAATTATATAATTAAGATTAAGTTAACTAATTTGTTTAGTTAAAATTAAAAAAAAAATTAAAAGTTTAAAATGAAATTAAAGTGTATAATCATTTTTTAAAAAAGAAAATGACATGGAATGTGGGATGGACAGAAACGGCAACGTAGACATGGTATGTGGGACGGAGAGAGTATTTTTTTTCGTTCGTCTTTAAGGGTTAAATTTATTTTTTGTGTTGTTGTACTTAACATTAAAAATATCTTTATATTTATATAATTTTTTGTACAAATGTTCTTGTATTAGTATTATAAGACACCAATTAAAGTATTTTTGTAATTTTTTCTTAATTTTTACAATGTTTTGATATAATAATTAATATTCAAATATCAACACGTAAAATGTAAATGAAACCCTTAAAGCCGGACGGAGATAGTATATATTTTTACCTCTACTATTTACCTATTTCTGTTTTTTTATTCAATTCAAAAGTATGCATTTATCTTTTTAGTAACGTAGTATCTTATCACTAACTACTAATATATTTTATATATTTATATATCAATTTATTTTCACTTTATTATACACTTATATTTAAAAATAAGAATAATTTGATATTTACATTATTATATATATTTACTACTATTAAAATACTAATATTTTTTAATTCGCGTGCACAAAATAAATATAAATACTACATCAATCCCGCAAAAAAAGTAATATTTGTTTTTTTACATTAATTTTTTAATATTAGTATTATATTTGTTTTGTTAAAAAAACAAAAATGTCCCTATTAGATTGTGTGATAAAAAAAAGTAATTGCATTTGTGTAATATATTGGAAGTTATAAGGGTATTAATTATATTAGGTAAATAGTACAATTACTAAATTAAAAAATAATATCATTTTTTTTGGACAGACAAAATGGAAAATAGTACTCCCTCCGTCCCATGTAATATGCGTGTATTACTGTAGACACGGTAATTTAGGTAAAGTATAATTAATAAATAATTAAGAAGTGTATTAGTAAAAATAATTATTATTCAGTAAAAATAATTATAGATTAAAATTAAGATAAGTAAATAGTTTAATTAAAATTAAGAAAATTATAAAATTTAAAATTCAAAATGCGATTAAAGTGCATAATTATATTTCCAAAAATAGAAAGGACAAGTTACGTAGAACGGACGAAAATAAAAAATAGGGACAAATTATGTGGAACGGAGGGAGTATCATTCTTGTTAATAATACAAAAAATATAATTAAATTTTTCTGACTGTGCGCACTAGGTAAACCATATATGGCAGATTACCTGAGATGTCAAAGGTTTAAACCGATGACCTAACAGTCACAAATCCAACTCTTACACTATCAGCTCATCCCTTGTCGGACATATTAATATGTATGATGTGTCAGTCATATTAATATTTTGAGTGTAAATTTGTCAATATGTATGAGGTGTCAGTCATATTAAACATTTTTTTTTTTATATTAAACATTGTACATACATAACGTGGCAAATCAATTAAAATAGAGATTCAGCTGATCTTTTTCGAGCCACAAAACTCAATTTTTTTTTATTGCAATTAAATATTTTCCCACTCCAATCCTTTTCTATATTATTATAATTTTTTTAATACTATAAAGTTTTCATTTGGATTTTTTTCTTAAAAAGTTAATTTTGTTTTTTTTGTTGTTGAAAATGATATAAACATGAAAAACCATCACATTTATAATGTAAACATAACATGCGATAGGAAAATAAAGAATATTAGAGTGTGATGGTTTTGTGAAATGTTTTGAATGAATATTTTTATTTATATATTTATCTAAAAAAATACAGAGAA